ATGCGGCGCCAATGATCCCATTGGTTAGTCGCTTGGCGGTTCAGGTTTCCTCGCCCCGGCAGCCAATCACATCACGTCCCCGGCCAGCCCTCCTTCGATTGGTCATTGCCTACGGTTTTCCTTATTTGCGCGCCATCCTCCTTCTATTTTTGACTTCATTAAAACAAATATTTATTTTCCTTCGATTTTCAACATTTTCCGGCTTCCAACTGCCCATTTTGTGCGCTTTGCCGTTTGCCCCGCCCGTTCTTCCCCTCAAAACCGCCATCCCGTTGTACCCGACACACCTAGAGAGGATTTCTCACTGTGGCTGCCTGTTGGGCTTCTGCCGAGTGCCCTTTAGTGATACGATAGGCCGGAGAGGAGCGCCCTCCTTGTGCACTTTTGATCGACCGTAGAATCGGGTTAGGGCCGTTCCTTGTGCTCTCGCCATGCGTCGGTCGATTGACGATATTGCACCTGAGTTCACCATTGTCAACAGCGTCGCGTTAATCTCGCGTGTCAGCGTTTTTATGGGGTTGGATTAGCATGGGACATAGGACTGACGATCCTCCAACAAGCTTTTGGCTTTTTGATTGTAGTCTGTCCTGTCCAATACGACCGTTGAACGCCTCTTGTCCGCAGGCACGATAACGAGGTCGTTGTCGGCCCTGAGTTCCTTAAGTGCATCGCGCTTGACCTTGGAAAGCACATCGCGCGGCCTATGAGCCATGAGGAGGGAGAACACTTGGTGTCGAGTGAGGTTCTTCGTTTCTTCTGTCGCTCCCGTCTGGCTGAGGATTGATTCCACTGCTGCGATCATGATGGCAGGTTTGGCATCGGCTGTGTTGAATGAGGCCTCATGCCGTAAAACCTGCATTTGTTCCTCCGTCAGCTCCTTTAACGACAAGTTGTGCACCAGTTTGTCGTTCTTGGATGAGATTGGGACAGGCAGCTTACGAAATTTGCTCTCCAGGGTTGCTTCGCGTGTTGCTTTATCTTCGCGGGTTCGTTCGGCCAGCCTCTGCTGAAGCAGTTTTGTGCCGTCCTCGCCCATGAACTCGAAGCACCTTTCTTTCTCCTAGTCAATCCTCTGACGGTATTTGCGAATCCGTGAGTGACAGTCTTGAAGGAGCACTCGGATCATTCGTCGGTCGTGCTGAAGTACTGCGCGTCTCGCCAGCTCTGTGTTGAGCGGAGCTTTGTATGAAACACACTTCGGCAGCACATTGTTGTCGAGACACCTATGCAGAAATCGAATCCGCGCATACGTAGACGACACTCGAAGGGCAAAGGTATCCCACCGTCCAGCCGATCGGAGCGCTTCGCGCCCAAAAAGATTGCCGATAGAAGCGAACAGGCGAGTTCCAGGTAGCAGTTCAGAAGAAGACGATGTGATCACTGGAACAATAAAATTATTGGCCTGACGTTTCGGATTCTCACTCGAATCCATCATCAGAGACATTCGCAGATAAAGGTGATGGTGGCACAGGTTGTGCAGACGCCGAAATCCTCGCTAGGGGTGACAACCGCGTGAGCCGCGAGCTGCTCGAGTCATGGTTCTCAGGCCAGCAATCCATCAACAAGCACAATGACCTCCCGTTACCATATTCCGTGCTGAGATTTTCCCTGGGCAGGGGAATCAGTCACGTGGGGAGGACGCGGGCGAGCAATTATCCCAGTGACAGTGAGCCAATTTGCCGAGCAATCGTCACACCAGCATCCAGCACGGATGACGAAATCGCGGCCATTACCGACTCGGACGCGGGCTGACAAGCCACCATCGCATCAATTACGACCCTAGCGGTGAGAGCTGTTAATTACAGTGAGCATATGGTCCAACGGCAACCACGTGCTGTAAATACTGCACTCCTTGTGCCATCATCACCTTTATCTGCGGATGTCTCTGATGATGGATTCGAGTGAGAATCCGAAACGTCAGGCCAATACATTTACTGTTCCAGTGATCGCATCTTCGTCTTCTGAACTGGGACAATTATTCGCCCGCGCCCTCCTCACATGACTGACGTTTCGGAAACGTCAGGCTAACAAATTTGTTGTTCCAGTGATCGCATCTTCGTCTTTTGAACTGCTACCTGGACCTCGCATGTTCGGATCACGTGGACTCGGCGCAGTCAGATGAATGCTCATCGCTGGCAAGTCTGGAGTCGCTTTTCGATCTGGCGCATACGAAGCGCTTATCGTCTCTGCACTTCTGATCCCTACTTAGCTGACTCGACGGCCCTCGTTCTCCGGCCCCATCGGATGTGCTATTTCGGCCAGACATACGCATAATAACCTGTGGTTCTGGGTAAATCTGACCCAACCGTAGCTCTTTAAATATACTGATCCTTTTTAGTGCGACTAGCTGATATAATCTTGCCAATCTTGTCTGATCGGCATACCGGTTTCCGGTAGCTGTATAAGATGACTACTACTGGTCATTTCAACTTTCGGACTGCGCCTATAAAGTATCATTCCGACAGCTATACTCACAGAAGCCTGCAGTTTTCAGTAAATCTAATTCGACCGTTGGCCCCTAGAGACACGCCGGGTCTTATTAATGCGATTTTGTGATATAATCTTAGCCAAATCTTCGCCATCTTGTCGGAATACCAGTCTTGGCACCATTAATTTTACCGGCAGCTTTGACTGTATATACCATGGGACATTTCAACTTTCGCACTGAGACTATTACGCTTCATTGCGGTGAATTTACTGCAAGTTAGCACATTAACTTCTGAGGACATCAAATACCTGAATTTTCGACTGCGGGGTATCTACCAGAAGGACCACGGAAAATGCTGGAAGATCCACTGACTATCCAAACCCTCGTAGCTGTGTTATGCAACGTCAGAATAATGGGGGAACACTCCTCCGAGCTTTTAACTACTACGTCGACTTTCAGCATGGTAAGCATATCACGACTGGTCAAACTGCACCTTCAGGCTCATTAGCTGGCCAAGCCATTCGACTTTATTCGAATTTGTATGTCTTTTTGCTACGGTAAGATTTGCCCAACTAACTCCGTCTCCCTGAGAAACTTCGCGATGTTGACGTTCGTATCTAGACACCCATATCAACAACACATTATATGTGGACAAGATAAGGGAGATCTTCTTCCACAGATGAACGGCGCAGCCTATGAGCATGGGGAGGACGCGGTTTGTGTATGTGAACACGCACAACTGACGGCATTCATTTGCATGCCGTCGGTTTATCGAGATAGGCTGGTTGAGCAATTTGACCAATTGCCAGAGTATGTCTCAACCAATGGGTACGCAGCCTTACGGTCTGGGCTCCCATTGGTGGATTACCTTCCAGGTGGTCATTGAGCCCTAAAGGCAATTACTGAGCTCGGTTGACCCAAATATTCAATTCATGATGTAAACTGAAACAAACGACAAACTACACTTTCTTGGTGAGCTTGTGCGTCGGTGTGCTACTGGACAACTGCAAGCCGACAGTATGGAGAAAAGCCACTAACACAAGACAAATGCTACAATTCAACAGCACCCAACCTCTCTTTCATACAGGTAGCTGTGTCCGCACTTTATTCCAAAGAGCTGGAACGCATTTAAGCACACAAAAAGACAAAAGAGCTGAACGACTGTACCAGCAAAACCACTTTAGAGCTAATGGTGATCCGAGTCATTTTATCTAGAAATGCAGGCGCTGAGAGCACAGACGACGGTAAAATATGTTCCTGTAGGATACATTGGCCGCACAGCAAGGTATCTGGACAAGAGGTAGGCGAACACACCTGCCCCACTAGGTCAATGAGACTTCGCAATTGCCTGCCAGACACCTACGCCAACGGGTGGTAGCAACAGCCATAACAGTGCCTATATGGCTAGCGAATCCAGCGCTTTGTTGTTAGAAGACATTGGAACAAGCCATCTGTCTTGCGTGGCCGATTCCTGCTGGTGATTACACGACGCCCAAACCGCCTCATGACGGCTAAACGCAATCCGCGTGTTTGGCATACCGACACCGCTCACACCCTAGCCTTAACCAGCCCTCGCACCCAATTCCGACGACAACTCGCAGACTTCACCACGTGGGTGGCGTGGAAACGAGTAACTAACCCCCCCCCCTTTCCGTGGCTCGCACATTCATTCTCCACGTGCTTGTAGTGGCCTGATGATTAATTATCAAAACACATGTCCGCCACTTGACTTCCCAAGTTCCGGACTGATAATTTGAGGACAAGTTTATTGGAATGTTGATGTTCCGGAGAGCTTGGTCGACTGACCATTGTCCAAGAGTTAAATGTGCATAATTGGACGCAAATGAGGCAGCCTGCCGTGGTCATAGTTCAACCGCCACATCCGGCGATGTCCACCGTGCGCTCCACAGCAGAGTGAGTCAAGCAGGAGGATTTGCGCGTGAATTAGTTTGTGGTGAGAGTAGACTTGCGCAGCATCTACCGCACTCCCCCCTCCTTCCCCGCCTGAGCCCGGTGTCAAGACAGAGTCAAGGCCGGTGACGGGGGGAGGGGGGGGGGCACAGGGGGGTGACGCGGCCGAACCCACACCTTGGCGCACTACTCCAAACCCATTGGTCCACAACAGGCACTTGACTTTTGATCACCGTCTGGAGTCGGTCAGCGTCTTCTGACAACAGAGTGCTGGGTTTGTTAGTTGAATGACCACCGCTTCGGCTGTGGCTAGCACCCGTTTGCGCAGTCCCGACGCCCTGATTTTGATCAACAACAACTGAAAGGCAGCCATGCACACGACCTGTGTACCTATCGGGAGCGCAAGCACGTCTACCGCCACAGAACCAGGTACCGGAGAACTGCCAGCGCACACCAGGCTGCGAGGGCCACGGTTTGCTGATCATGGCAGAGCATACTTTCACTAATCTTGGGGCCCGGAAGGATGACTCACAGCCCAGCACCCTCCAAAGGCTGGGTAACCAGTCAGTCTGCAACTGAAAGGCACTACTCATCAAGTGACAGTTCGACCATCGATTTCGATGATGTCCACCGTGTGCCCCACAGACTGCATTGTGGAGCAGGGACGGTGACTTGCGCAGGGCTTTATAGTGCCAGTAGACTTGCGCTGCATCTACCTACACTCTCTCCTCCTCCCCCGCCTGAGCCCGGTGTCAAGACAGAGTCAAGAAGACCGTAGACGGGGAAGGCCGCAGGTGGATGGCTCGGACGGATCCTCGCCTTGGTGCTCCACTCCGCACCCCCTGGTCCACACACAAATGACCAGGATTTTGACCACAAAACAATGGGGGGGTTGCAGTGGTTCAGTTGTGCGACGAATGCCGACAACAGGGTCCGCCAGCGCACCCCGCAAGTGTTGGCATTTGTTATTGCGCACAGATAACGCCTGCCAGAGTACGATGTGGCCCCCGTGTTGGTCCAGCGCATTTAACACGTGGCCCGTTTGGAGGGCGGACTCATCAAGTAACACACTCCTCACACGCGTGAGCGCGTCACGAGTCACTTTAAAAGGAGCCGTAGCAGCCTTGCTCTCAGCCCACAAGTCCTCCACTCCACATAAACACACAACTGGGCAAACCGTGTGGACTGAGTCGAGGCGTCAGTCGGCAGCCCTCCAAGCCACAGCGCTTGACACACCGTGATAGTCTCAAACTCGGATCACGCATGCAGCAAAGAAGCATAACTAGACGGTCTCGGATTGGTCGATTTTCGCTCTCGCTACCCCGGCATTGGCTAGATCGCAGTTGGTAGCAAGGCCCCGTATTACAGGTGGCTGGGGGGTTTGTTTACTGAGGATATTTTGTGGGACTCTATAATTACATCTGATCCATTTGGCTTCCGTTTTACGTTTGAGGTTGAGATTGGAGGACCGGTTAATGGTTTCCGATTTTCGGGTTGGGGTTATGCCTTTAGGCTTAGGTTTTCGGGTTACGGTTAGGGTTTGAGCGTACAAATAGGTTTCAGTATTACAGTAGGGTTTTTCAGTTACGGCTATGTCTAAGGGTTATGGTTTTGTTTACGATTTCGGTTAGGGTTAGCGTTAAGGTTAGGATTAGGGTTATGGTCGTCGTCCGCTTCCTCATTCCTGGCTACCAACT